TTCTGATGATCCAGACAACAGAAAATTTTCAGGCAAAGATCAGCCGGCAATTTCTCCATACCTTAATCGCATCAGCTTCTGAAAATACTAATGTACGCTTTGGAGTTTCGAGCTCGTCACTTTATTTGTAGATCTACAAATTATGTGGGTATTTGTTTGTTCGAGGATCCTTGGTTGTTTCAAGTCTGGAAGTGACGATTCCTATCGTTTCTATCTATTCTGGCAAGTGTCGTGGGCCTCGTGGCCTCCGTGATTGATTTACTGTGGAAACGAGAGGAGCTTAGCTCAATAGCATTTATCGTATTGAGTCTGAGCTTCAATTAAACGAGTATGGTCGAGTCGGTTCGAATTCGAGCTCAAACTCGATTTTAAGCTTGTTTATTTAACGAGCCGAGCTCGACTCGACTCGTTAAGGGCTCGAACTCGAGCTCGAGCATCCTAAGCTCGAGTTCAACTCGGCTCCTTTACTAATATTTAAATTAGCTGTATCAAATGTACCAATGTCTCGCGGATTATGTCGTGGTAAGAAATATGTATTTATAATGTTGAAGAATATATAGGAGCTTAACTTCATTCATGAAATCAAACTAGCTTAAATTCAAACTATTTATCAAACGAATTTAGCAACCAAACCGAACTTGCCTTTAACCAATTTAGCACCGATCTAAAGCTGGACTTAGCACCATTATATGGCCAATAAAATTTTATAGGAACAGTAAAGGGCAGTTCCATTTAATTTTATTTTGTTTCTTTTCTTTCTCCAATTTTCGTGGATTTTAGTTGAAATAGCCCTCTGAATACAAAAAAATGGCCAAATGACCTTTGACTCAAAAATGAGAATAAAAGTTAATGAAAAATAATATTAAAGAGGAAATGACAAAAAAGCCCTCCCAAATTAAACATTAGATTTCCACCTTTCTTCTTCCCTCCCCATTCTATCGTTCAGAACCGAAAAAAAAAAAAAAATCCAACTTTCAAATTCCTTCCTCTCTCCCTTGCGACACTATCTCACGACCTCCTCTCTCGTTCGACATCTTCTCAATCACTATGGAGCTCTCTCTTGTTAATTTGGGTACGGAT